CTACTAGATGTTAACGGGTGAAATAGATCTTTAATTCTATCACATCACTCTCAGCACAGGATCCAGCTCTTACTGCATGTTCAGAAACGTTGGCCAGCTTGACCCACTTTGGGCCATACAACCACTCACACAGTTGGGCTGTGGTAGTTACCATATGCTGTATACCCGCTGTGATGCCAGGAAACAGGCTATACAGATCTGGGAAGAAGCCTGTGCCAGAAATGTGACAAACAAAACTGATGGTAGAAAGCCACCAAGAGGGACTTCGGAGAACATGGTGGACAGATAGCAGCAGCTATGGAGGCTCTCTGAAAGACCCAGCTTAGAATTCAGGAATGGTGCGGAGTAAGGAATCATAAGCAAGAGGAGATATGCCCTGCTGACCCAAGAACGAACTGGGCTGAGAGAAACCAACTGGGAATGCAATCCTGGTGCTACAACAGGAACAGAAAAGCCTCAGTGTGGAGGCTGGAGCCCGCACCATTGGAAGCCGCGATTTGGGTTTCGGGCTGCCGCCGCCGCTGCATCTACATCCACTCGGCAGGGAGAGAGACTCTGTTTTGTTATGTCACATTTGGTTTTATTCTCTTCAAAAAAAGTAGTAAGAACTGTGGGAGTAATAAAACCTAAAATGTGTAACTGTCATGGTAAAAAAGAGAGGAAAAGAAAGTGCTCTAAAGGATATAACTGTATGTATATTTAAGCATATAAGATAGATGACCATATTACTGAGTTTACTGGATCATTGAACAGAACTGTTTGCAGTTTCACTGTTGGAATGTCCACTTTATAAGCTTTAATTTTGTAACTTGAACAATTATTTCTAAGATGACAATATGTAATCCATTAACTAGTGATTTCCTACTGTTTATTTTTTTCTGTAAATCTGTATAACTTATACCCTTTCTCTGCTTTTTTTTCTTTTTTCCTCCTTAAATAAAATTAAAAAAAAAAAAAGCCACCAAGAGCACCACGGAAAAACACCACAGCTGAGCAACAGGTCACAAATGAAGAGCCCCACCTCTCACTAGGAGGTGGTCATGTGTGATATCCAAAGCCACAGATCTGGAACAGAAGCAGAATGCTCCTTGTGAATGCAAGTGGGCACACAGCCATGGTCCAGAGTGTCAGCAGAGCTAAGACTCTGTCTACCAGCAGCACAACAGGGCATACAGTTTCATCAGATTGCCTGGCCACCTTGGACATTTCAGAGGGGCCATGAGTGATCTCCATATTCAGCCTCTCCAAAGACTTACAGAGACTGAAGTGCTGACACCTTGCTGCAAGGCTGTGGGCCTGTGACATGTGTCCTGGGTTAGCATCTGGCATCACCAGCCTTCTGGTTTACAACTTTCAACTAAATTCAGCTTTTCAAACATGCATCTCAAAGTCTTGTCCATAATAGTGATATTTAGAATACTGACAAATACACAGCTTTCCAGTAATGAAAATCACTTGGAATGCATATTCAAAATCTACACTGCAGGCCCCACCCCAACCTCCCCCTTTGGAATCCCCACAACGGGGTGCAGAACACAGTTGACTGTGAGTCCCCACCAGCATCACAGAAAGCATGTGGGTGCATCAGAAGACACACTGACTTGCCTCCATGTGCATGGAGCCGTGTGTGACAGCACAGGTTGTACCTAGGCCCCTGAGAAGCCCTCAGCTGGAAGTGGCATCAGAAACTAGCAGAGCAGAGGATCAGACACAATAGACCACAAGAATCATCTACAGCAATAAATGTGCCTCTTCTGGCTGAAATTTGGTTAAAATTGCTGCCATATTCAGATCAGCCCGAGGGTTTCTGGGGGCTCTGCCAGGCCTGTGAATTCTAGCCTTTGATTTCATGTGTCCAACACATCCAAGTCTAATGTAATATTTAAACTCCATTGTTTAACTAGCTGAGATGGTGAATAGTACCCCGGAAGGGTCATTTACTCCTAAAAACTGCCACCTAGGCTCCTGGCCACAGTAGTGTCCTGCTTGGTCCTCATGGGAGCCCAGTGCTCTGGTAGACACTGTGCTAAGCACCTGCAGTGGTGCACAGGTGCCTAGCGGAGGCCACTTGGTCCTTGGAGGACAGGGGAGGCCCTGCACTCTGAGATGCCAGGATTCCTGGGGTGGGCGAGAGCCCCACAGGAGCTCTAACAGGAGAAGGGCCTCTGCCTTCATCAGAGAGTGCATTTCTACTCTGAAGATCCCTTTCTTTACCTGAATAAAGCACCACGACAGTCCTTTGTACTATTTTTTCACACTTCTAAATTTTACATTTCTAAACTCATAAATGAAAATAGTGGGTATTTTCTTTCTGAAGAACTGCAATACTGATTTTCCTTTGCTACAACACATCTTCGTCCTCTTACCCCGAGAGTGCCAAAACAGTGTGGCCTTCCCATCTGTTTGGAACCCACATATGGCCTAAAAACTTGTCTACCTCTGTGGCCAGTGAGGCCGCTTTCCTACATCTGTCCTCAGAGGAAAGTCATTACCAGTTCACAAGTGCTTCTCACGGCTCCCTAGGCTTGCTCTTCCCCCACCAACATGCTCAGCAAAGGAAGCCCCTCAGAGGCGGCAGATGAGAAGCCTGGCAAATCAGTTTCCCTTCCCAGCCAGCCTTGGCTTTGTCCTGAAAGGGAGCACTGGAAATCTCCCACAGAGGCCACTCTGCTGTGAAGGGACTCTGAGTGACACCTCCTGTTTAAGGAGGGCTCTGCCTCAGGCAAGCTGAGTGGACCGAAAGCAGCATCTTCAGCTGTGGGTACACAGAGCATCTCTCTGTGGGACTCTGGGCATCATGGGGGAGCGCTAAGCAGCCCTCTTATTGGGCCATCACCCCTTCTCACAACAGGGAGGCAGGGGCACACAGACCAGGTTCTGCTCAGCCACCTGACCGCCAGCAGCGGAGACCCCCATGATTCCTCACCTCAGGCGGTGCTCCTGGATGTGGTGTTAGCCCTGAAAATCTCTGTGCCTCATGAAATCACTACCAGTGGGAAAGTGTTGAGACATTCAGCCCCCCATGGCCATCTCAACTCCCCAGGCACACTCTCCTAATTCACAATTGTCCTACCCGGCGCCTGTGTATCCTAGGACCACCCTTCCACCTGCCCGCACACATCCACACCACACCGGGCTGCAGAGTGGACAGTGCCTTCCACCCCAAACAACCTGCAGCTCCTCATGCCTGCCAAGTGCCTGGGAAGACACACTCTTTCCAGAAAACCAGCCCAGATCCATAGGACAAGAGTGAGATCCTTTCACACCAGATCAGAAGGAGGTCCTCCTCAAAGACATGCATTCTCCACAGCAAACCCACCAACCTATGTGTTCTACATGACCTACTAATTATGGCACATAAACCTGTAATTATGGTAATGCCGCTCCCAGCCATACACTAGGTAGAACTCTTAATTATAACTCAAATAATTAATCGACCAGCACACATTTTTCTGAGCATCTGGCCCACGCAGGACTCTACCAGGCTCTGAAGAGGAAAATTGCACAACTCCACTCTCCGTCAACCAGGGACTCCTCTCCTCCCTCTCCCTGTGCCTCCACAAACACCCAATTTGTTTCTTAAATTATGGAAATCTCAAGATATAAAAAAATTTCTGCCAAGTGGGATATATAAATTGGCTCTGGCCTTGGAAACAATCCGAAAGTTGTTTTCATAGCCTCTCTCCAACTAAGACACAGAAACAGTAGTCATTTCTGGGCAGTGCATAATCCCGCCTGTGTGACTGGTGCTGAATAGGAACCCGCCGACACATGGATTTCATCCCCGAAGGCACCACAGTCTCCCCAAATTCACAGATTAAGAGAAGGCAGAGCAATTTCAATTCAGTAACAACAGCCAAGCCTTCAAGGCCGACCCCACAGACAGTCAAAGGGTAGGGCAGGGGAGGCGCTGAGGGACCTGCCCTTGGAGGAGTCCTCTGCTATCTAGCTTCGGGTTTACCTAACTGGCCCAAGGGCAGGGCTGAGGAATGAACCATCACTTAACCACTGAGACTTCCCAAGTGGGTCAGGATCCATTATTCACATTGCTCCAAACCCTGGCTTGACAGGATTATTCTCTGCAGCTAGAGGGAGAGGAGGAGGACTAAGGAGCAGGGAGCAGAAAGGAAGACTTCCAGAATTCCAAGGGCCCAGGAGAACCCAGGTCAGGCCACGCGAGGAGAGCGCTGTCTGGAGGGGCTCGGCCTCGGGCTCTGGACAGAGCCACAGCTGCGCTGCTCTGACCGCTGGAGAGAAACCGGCTGGCCAGGCTCCCCAGCCGCATGTGCCTGCTGCGGTGTAAACAGGAGCGCACAAGCGCGCCCCGGGGTGCCAAGGACCTGCGGGCTGGGAAGCTCAGTGGGCGCAGAGCGCGGCTTACTCCCCGACAGCGGCTCGGAGGCCGCAAGTGCTGGGCACCGAGGGCGTCCAGGCCCACAGTTTCCTCCGGGCGGGGACCGGGCGGGCGCCGCGCTTCGAGTTCGCGGAATCCGCGGCTGCAAGAGGAAGGGCCCTGTCCGCGCGGCCAGCGCCCCGATGGTCGGGGCCGGCGGGCGCAGGGCGAGGCGAGCGTGCCCGCGCGTTGGCGTCCCCGGCCGCGGGGCATCCACCTCGCCGCGCTCCGGCCGGGCGGGGGTCTGCGCCGCGCCTCGCTCGTGTCTCCCCCTCGCGGGGGCCCGCGGCGGCCCCGGGGAGCCCTCCGGCCCTCTCGGCGCCTCCTGCTTTCCCCCGGGCTCCGGCAGGATCGACGCGGGCAGACGGGCGACAGCTGGCCCGGGCGCGCGGACTCCGGGGAGCGCACGACGCGGCCCGGCGCGCCCCTCTCGGCCCGAGCCCCGGGCGGCGCCCACGCGCGCCCCCAGCCCCCACCCCGCGGGCCCCCAGCGCCGCTGCCCAGCTGGAAACGCGCGCGTCCGGCCGGGCTACCCGCACTCGCGCTCTGCGCCCCACAGTCTCCTCGCGAGGAAGACACCCTGGCCCCACGCCCCGCGCAACTTTACCTCGGGGCAGGGCTCAAGGTTGCGGGATCTGCACACCAGCCCGCCGCAGCTCCTCGGGGCGGAGCTCGGCATCCCGGAGCTGGCAGTCGAGCCAGGCACCGCCCCGCGCACCGTGCCGGCCCCACCGGCCGGCTGCGTCCTGGCCTGCAGTGGCACGGCGCCCCCTCGTGCTAAGTGGGGTCCCCAGGACTTGGACCCCCGCTCCCCTCCGTGATTAGGGAGGCGCCAGTACCTCACCCAGGACCGTGGAGGGACAAACACACACACACACACACACACACACACACACACACACACACACGAGCTCCTACACTTTCCACTAAATCGCACTCTCAAGACTTATAATGACGTAGGCACACAGGTATACATACTCGCTTTCACACTCATGCAAACCCACAGGCTCAAACACACATGGCCACACTCAAACACCAGCTCACCCTCACATACTTGTTTCACACGTATAATCATACACACTACATTCACACACATAACTACACAGTTACATATTCTCAGGCTCACATATATACAGGCATATAAACACTCAGGCACGCACACATACACTCCCAGACACACTTACACACATGCACACTCATACCCGGAGGCTACTCTGGAGTTATAACTGTCTCCCGTAGCCACACCCTGGGGGAAAGAAATGAGGGTCTCCAAAGCAAAGCACAGCTCTGGTCAGTGGCCTAAGACCCTGGGGTCGTGATTTTGCATTCAAGGGAAAAGTCAGTGTTTGCGGGCTTTGAAGACCCTTGCCTGGGCCAGAGGGGCCTGCTGTATAGGGTTAGATGGCAGGGCCTGGGCAGGGATCTGGCATGGCGGGGAGGCCCCTGTTAGCAGCTATGTTCTCATTGCATCCCGAAACAGAAATGTTCTACTCTAGCTTCTGCAGAACACCAGGCCTGCAAACGAGGGCCCTGGAAATATTCACAGAACTGAGAACGCAGGAGGCCAGGCACCACCCAGAAGCTCATCCCCTGCCATGGGACATGATGGCCTCTGAGTAGAGATACGGGTGTGAATGGTTTGGTTTGTTTGCAGTTGGCCTCACAGGGCTAGGCTCACTAGCATATTGACATGAGGCAGAACGGGCTGGCCACCCCTCAAACATGAGAATGCATAGCAAACACAGTCCTGCACCCAGTACCGGTGAGTCCCATGAGGTGGTGTTCTGCAGGTACGCCTGTGATTTGTCCACATGGTCTCTTGCACTTTGCCTTGCCTGGACCTGCACTGTTCTGCTGAGAAGGAAACGCCCAGGCCCTCCCATTCCACCTCGGCTGTCTCTGTCAGAGCCTCCCTTTGTGCCAAGACCTTGGGTCACTGCGAGTGTGCAGTAGGACTAGCCCATTCTTCCCTCATGCAGACTCTGTGCTCCAGTTTACCCCGTCAGGCTGCTTACCCTCTTCCCTGGCACTGCATCACACTTGCCAACAGCCCTGGTTTGGTTGACCTTAGTCTCCAGGTCTCCAAGTCTATGTGTGCAGTTGTTGAGATTTTCTTTTTTCTCTGATCCACAATTCTCAGGTATCTAACTCTTTAAAATATATTACAATTTGTTCCATTACATTTTGTCTCAATAGTTTTTGCTAACCTGTCTAGTTAGCCTATCAGATGCTTCAGAATCTTAATCCACTCTGCTCCTTTCACATCTTGAGCCACTGGAAGATTGGTCAGTTGTGATGCAACCTCCAGCCACTGCTATGGGCCATGTCATTAGAAGCAGCACACATGCTGCACCACTCCCCAGCCAGTGCTGCTCTGGCTCTAAGAACAACATTTGCAGGCCTGGGTGTCCCACCAGCCCCGGCTCTCCCTACCATCTGTGCTGTTCAGCCGTTCCACATTTCCCATGTTGTTTGCAAGGCTGTCAGTGCTAATCAGATGCCTTTCTGGAATTGAAGTGTGATCAGTCGGGCATTTGAACCGGTACATCTATCAATATTACATCCCCAGGAAGACAGCAAATGTGGTCTGACCCGGCCTGATTGATGGGACTATGCTCAGTGCTGAGCCCATCATCAGGATCCATGCAGGATGAATACATGGCCCCAGGGACAGCAGAGGTCAGTGTGACTCTGCCTCAGGTCCCAGGGAACAGCAACCAGACCTGCTTTGCTCTTTGCATTGAGAATTGAAGAGTTAGTACTAGGATGTGCCTATCTCATAGTAACAAACCAGTTACTGTCATTATTTTAGGGGCTTACAAAACACATAATAATCCAGACGGTTGAAACACAATGCATATGCCAGCCAAGGTGCTGTAAGTTTGGGATCCAGGAGTTACTTGAGAAGGTCATTAGTGCATCTCTATCCCTGTGACTATGTGTCAGGATGTGGGACTGCTTCTTAAGGGCAGGGCCCAGGGTGGGTGACAGGTGACTGTGACCCTGCCAGCCTTGGGTCATGTTGTATTGCCTTTTCTAAATAATAAATTAGTATCTGTGTGAGAGATTTGCACTTTTGTGTGGCTTGTATTTTAGGAAGGGGAAGATCAACCACCTGTAGCTCCATCATACAGATACTATCACTGTTAGTATTTTGATGCCTATTAACACTTTTATGTAAAAATATTTTTATTTGCCTTTCAAAAGCAGTTTATGTGTGTGTATATATATATATATATATATATGGAAAAGCAGCATCATAGCACTTACGGAATTTTTATCTCTTAATAGGAAAAAATATTCTCAATATTTTCTAGTCTGCAATGTCATTTAAGATATTTTAAATGGAATTCGATTCTGTGACTAGTATCATACTTTAAATGAAACTTTTACTTAGCACAGATGTTTTGTCAGCTTTTCATTGTCACAAGATGCTTTGCCATAAACTTTTCCACAGATGTTTCTCCTTTCTGACTGTTGTAACATGTCACTGAGTCTGATATATAATTAGTGGTACATTATTAGTGGAAATGTCTGATGTACACATTGCCTTAATCTGTAATTAAGAGTTGATTTCTATGGAAAAAATATAAGTGCACATTTACACTTATCTTCCTTAGCAGACATGAAACTTGCTGGACAGGGCGTGTTTTCTTTTTGGATTGTTAATCCTTAGCATAGAACCTGGCACTTAAGTATGAAGTTAATGTATGATCATTGAATGTATAAACAAGGAAGTGAACGAATACTTAGATGTCTAAAGAAGTAAACTGAGGCTCAATAAAATTATATATAGTTTGTCTGAGCAAATGTCATGAATCAGACAGCTTCACACCAGCAGTAATTCAGGAGCCACCAAGGGACTTGAGGACAGGGCTGTCATAAGATGGACAGAGTTGAAGCCACTGCTGTTCCATTGCTTCAGTGGGTGCCACTATGCCTGGTGCTTTACTCATTGAAAGTGGGCAGTCCAGCGGCCCTTAACTGTATTCACAACTACCACCACAGCCCCTTTAAAATATCTGTGAGCCAGGTATGGTGCTGCGTGCCTGTGATCCCAGCCCTTGAGAGGCTGTGGCTAGAGGATTGCTATAGGTTCAAAGTCAGCTTGACTATGGAGCAAAACCTTGTTTTTAAAAAACAAACAAACAAAAATTTTAATTAAAAAAAAAAAAACACATGTGCCACTTTGTGAAGAAACCTGGCAACTTCTGCTTCTTTATTGCCCATTCATCTTGTCCTGGCTTGGGGGACCTGGGAGATGGCCTGGAGTGCTTGTCTTCTGTGTGCTGGAGGACTCCCTCCCCAGGAGCCCCATCTCCATCTACCCTGGACTTTGTCCTTGGAGGCATCATGTTCCTTGTTGTGCGCCTGGTTCTTGGCTGTCTCCTGATTTTTTTCTTCTCCATCACTGTGCGTGGAAAACAGAGATCCATTTCTGAGGACGCCCCATTCTGAACTCCGCTGCCATTCTGGGGCTCGGCCCCTCTCCACAGCCGGCCTTTCTAGTTAGCTCAGCTGTTGCTTGCAAACGTTTCATCCTGCACTTCCATTCTTTGATTTTTCTTTCTCTTGAGTGTTTGCAGCATTTTCTGGCTTCCTGTCATGACTCAGTTCTCCCCGATGCCTGCAGATGCATCTTCCCCCATCCCAACCCACCCCGGGCTTTTCTCAGCCAGTTACGCTCCCCAGCTTTTGATAGATCAAACATTCCCATCACAGAGAGCTTGTGATCTCTTTGAGCTTTCTCAGGTTTCTCTTTTTGTTCATTACCTTTCTTCCTCTATCCTGCATTTTCCAACTTCTCTGTTCTCTTTCCTCATCTTACCCAAGCTCTAAATGGAAGAGTTCGGTCAGGATGGAGATACCATCGATTTCATGCATCTTTTTGTCTGCCTGATACAGTCTTGATGAAGCTGGTTGCTCTGTCCCTACACCTGCATTTGGTTGAAAGATACAGCAGCCAGTATTTTACTTGTGGAAATATTATGTAAAGTTCTATAAGTGAACTCACACGTGAATACTACTTTATGGTAATCTCTAAAGTTACTGTCGCTGATTCTTTTCTAAAATGAGCAGGTAGCTTCTCACCTAGCTGCTTGGAAAAGGAAGAATTTTATCCCTTAAATATTCTTATTCAAGTGGCATGGGAAGAGTAACCTGCGTTTTCTGTGAGCAGGCCCTCCCTCGTCTCCCTGACACACAGAACGTGTGTGGCTGAAGCTGGTGAGCACTGCTGTGTCACTTTTATGTATTTAACTGTCATGATCAGTGTTTAATGATCACATAACACTTCTCACTATTGCTTTTGTTATTCTGAAATGCATGTGCTTCAGGAAGCCCCTGTAAGTGTACTGGCATGTCTGTTTAAATGCATGGTGGAATGCAAGAACCCTTTCCCATCTACAACACTGTAGCACTGACAGGTTTCCATTCAGTTTTGCTGTGCTATGCTTCTTGGAAACCATCTCAAATTCAGCAAACTCACATTTTAAATTTTTTGCTTTCCTTAATCCTGAATAACAACTGTAATAGGGTTCTGAATGACTGGCACTTGCTTTTCTCCTAGGTTATGTGAGATTGTGACATTCTGAACAGTCACTTCTCTTGTCTTTGTGTGCAGTGGAACTCTTCATCATCCATGTTGGGAGTGGGTTGTTTACCTGTGTCCAGTCAGTGTCATGCTAATCACTTCCCTGGTGCCAGGCGTGCTGAGCCCTGAGTACCTGAGATAAGGCAAACAGCTCTTTTGCTGTGGAGGTTGGACACTGTGTGGAAGAAAACACTATGCTAGATACTCAGCACTGTGGAAAACCAAACTTGATGGATGGCTAAAAAGCACAGCCCGAGTCGG